GGGGGGGGGGGGGGCCCTCAATAATACATGAACCAGGACCGGCCACAGGGACCACAGAGGGACCATAGAGGGTGTGTCTCCTTCTTATTGTTTTTGACCCGTTGTTGGTTGTCCAGTGTTTCATTTCCTGAGCAGTCTGAGCTAGTCAGGAAGGTAATATGATATCCGTAGGTATGTGTTATATTGTATATTGGTATTTTCTTTTTGTTACTTTAGAATGAGATGTTTTTATTTACAGAGGGAGCGAGTCCTCTTCTGGCGGAGTCCGCCATGTGTAATCCTGCACACTGGTCCTTTAAGTCGAGATGAGTGAGAGGAATGTTGTTTAGAGGAACGAAGCACATTTTCAGACATTCATAGTTACAGGAGTTGTCCATAAAGGTATGTTTGTGGTGGTGGTGCCTGTTTATTTGCTTCAATCTCTGAATTCTCGCTGCCTTTATTGGGGACCGGCGTTTAATTCCTTCAGCACAAACTGTTGCTCAGCACAAATAGAAATACTCTTCAACTGCTGCTTGTCCTGAGGTTTCTTCAGCAAATTTGACAACCACCATGACACTGAACATAAATGTGGTTTTACGGCCGCTGAAGAAATATTCACAACTCAGATTAATGTTAATGAAACTCTTTGGAGCTCATAGTTTCTGTAAAATGAACTGAAGGACTACATTGTGGAGAATCTATCTGATCTAACGATGTGTAGCAGCTTCACACTGACAAAAGTTTAAATTTGTGCTGGTGATCTAAGCAGCTTAGAACTTGTTCAAGCTTTAAGAGGTTTTATTCATCCAAAGAACTTTTATAAAATCCACACCAGACCTCTAATGGGGACCTGGGTCTATTCAATATATATAGTGGAAGCTTAGTCACTTCATCTCGGGTGGATAAGATCTGTGTTTGGAGATACTGAATCAAAATAAGTTTCTCATTATGACTTACAGACTTTTCCACAGAAATGTGATTGTTTGAAACACAACCGGAGGAGGTTTGAGAATCTTTCCAGCTCTAACTCTTTAGCATCATACGGTAGAGTCCCGTTTCTTTGTGTGATGAAGGGGTTAGTGGCTCCAAACGTAGAGGAGAATGTGAACTGAGCCCATAAATGCCCATAAATTTCTGATTAGGGTGGTTAGAGAACAGTAAACGTGACCTCTGACCTCTCTGCACGGTGTGGACTGAGATGAAGAAGCTCTGAGGAGGACTCTCGTTGTCCAGGTCACTGAGAGTGAAGCGGAAGCTGTCGTGACCTTTGAAGCCGGTGGCGTTGGCGGCGGCGGTGTGAGCATACCACAGACGGTTCATCTCCACGTCGTCCTGAGTGAAGTTCTGAGCGGCCGACAGCTCGGTCCAACCCGACTCTGTCTGCAGACCAGTAACACCATCACAGAACCATTACAACACTGAGCGGTGGAATAAAAACAGCAGGAACGGTAATGTTCAGACAACAAAACTGGTTGGAAACAAAGTTTTACAAAATTAGTTAATTATTAGTTAATTATTAGTTAAATAAAAAATACAAATGTTTAACTTTTGTAAACACTATTTAAAGAGAAACTTCTACAACTTCACCTTCGTTAAAGGTTCACAGAGAAGAGACAAACGTCTGAAGAGGTCAAAACTACACTGGTATAGAACTTTATTTATTGGTCTTCATCAGAGTCAGCTGTGAAGGTCTTAGTCCAACAATAAAGTTTTTTGTACAGGGTTGTTTCCAGACTTTTGACACAAGGGGGGCATGAAGTATGTATGAAATTATACAGTTCCAACACTGTTTATGGATCCCAGTATGCAGAAATATTCAAATACACTAAAATAACACATTTATACTACATGCACAATATTTCTCCCCAAAACTACAGGGGATTAGCATAAAGAGAGCATTTCTGTGAAGGGGAGAGTTGTCAAAATTTAGCTCTGGACCGCTTCCCAACATCCGAGCATGTCATGGTTGATACCGACGTTTGCGTTAGGTCATTTAGTTTCATATGATAACAGTATCTTCACTCTAGCTTTAAAATGGAGCCTCTTAAACACAGTGCGGAGTAGAAGAGGGAAGGATGAAGGGGTGGTCATCCAACCATCTTTACAATATGGTTGTCTTTCCAACACAGACAAGCCTAAAATAATTCATTCCCAATTCATCGTCCCGCGTCCTGAATGCGACCAGCTCAGTTTTTATCGGCGCGTCAAACCAGGAAATAAGTTCCTCCCTGACTTCAGCTCTCACCTTGAGCTGCAGTTTGCCAAAGCGCGGCTCAGTGTTGAGGAAGTAGTACACCTGGTTTGTGGGGGTGTCCAGGTCCTTGGCCTCCAAGGTCATGCTGGAGATCACCCTGCGAGCACCAGAGTCCACCTCCAACCCGGCGTTCCTGGAAAAAAAAAAAAATTATAATGTGTTCACTGTAAACTAAAAACAATTTGAGATTAGTTTTAGTGGATTTCACTCTTCTGGACTTCAGATGGTTCAACGTGTGAGAATCAGTTTACACTTTAGTTTGTTCTACTCAGTTTTCCAAAAGAGTCCTTTTGTCCACAAGACAGCTCCGTGAAAGAAAAACATCTCTACCAGGTCATCAAATACATTTCCCCCCAAAGATTAAATTAGTTATTTGAAGATTTTTGCTTCATTTTTGTTTTAAACTGTAGTTTTTCACCTTTATTGCTGGAAACATTACTGAATGATGTCTGATGGGGTTTGATCTGTTTATGGCAACGGCTCCTTCAAACTTATCTGCTTTAATTTGAATCTGTTTACGGCTTTATTGCTGAAACACTTAAAACACAGAAATAGTCTCCAGTGATCGGAAAAAGAAGCGTGAGGTTTGGATAAAAAAACAGTGGACTTTGAGATGATCGGCCATATCCAGGATATTTTGGATATTTTGGCTTCAATTTTGTACAGTGAGAGGAAATGGAGATGCAACATCCCTGTTTATACGTGTCAATGATTGATATACATATATATTTATATACAGTATGTGTGTATGTACATTTATCCTTTAAATAATGTGAATCAGAGACAGTTTTCAGAAGTTAAAAGTTAGTGTGAGAGCAGGTTTTTTCCAGCGGGATCGTGGAGATCTGTGGTTGGTGGTGGTGTTCAGTGTGTGGGGGGGCAGTGGGGTGGTGAATGCTGGTTGGGGGGGAGAACATCAGAAACCGTCTGGCTGCTTCCTCACTCGTAACTAAAATCCACGCAGGACAGAAGCTGCCACGTCCATCCTGCAGGAACGCAAAAACAAGGAGGCCGGCATCTGCCAAGTCTCTGCGTTACTTCTGCCTCGGTGGCCTTTACAGTACCAGCTCGGCCTGTGCCAACGCACCCACGCACAACGACGACTGATCTGGGGACAGGGCACGGAGGTGAGGAGGGGTGAGGAGGGGTGAGGAGGAGGAGGAGGGGGAGGGACAGCACGGGGAACCCAGTCAAGGATGCAAATTCCCAGTCACTCGTTCAAATGAAAATATTATGGGTGGGGGTGGCAGAGGGAGGTCACAGATTTTCCTCCTGTAACCGCCCACTCAAGCAAAACGACCCGCCACATGTGCACACACAGGTCACCCTCTCCTCTCCCGTCCTTCCCCCCTCCTGTCCCGCGTTCACCCCCCTGACCTCGCCACCTCCTGCAGCAACACACATTCATAACTGCACTAAACTCCAATAAAAAGACTCATTAAAACGTAAAACAAGACATTTTTAAGAATTTAATTCAAATTTCTCTTGTTTTAAGCAAATTACTAAACATCTTAAACTCCTCAATCACAAACAAAAAGATTAGGCTCTTATTTTTTACCTAGTTTATATATTCTATATATATTGTGTTGTGTGATATTGTAATATAATTATAATTTATATTCTTTAACATCATGTGAGCACCTTGAGCAACTGTAACAAACAAATTCCCCCCGGGGATCA